TTTCCAAACAGTGTTAGCAGACTTTACAGGAAACAAATTTATGGTACTCTGAAACATAAATTGCTAAAAGCTTTTTCAGATTTTGATCTACAGGAGCGATTTGTAATTCAAACGCAACCCATTCAAGACGCTAAAACCATTTTTGTTGATGGCTCTAGAAAAACCAGCAAATCTGCTGTTGTTTGGTTTGAAAAGGATTCCTGGCAATCCTCTGTTATACATGTGGATGACTCTACGCTGCTTGTTGAAATTGGTGCAGTCTTATATGGGCTACAGTTGGTCCCTGCAGAATCCTTAAATATTGTTTGTGACTCAGAACACGTTGTTCGGTTGTTACCATGCCTTCCTGTTAGCGTGTAGAAAGAAATCAATAACTGTGCACTTTCTGACATTTTGCTGAAGCCAAAACATTGTTTGGAAACTAGGAATTATTCTGTTTTCATTGGTCATACTAGATCACATTCCAACTTGCCTGGCCCTTTTAACTACGGGTAATGACATAGCAAACTCCTTGACTGTTAACACTCTGCATTTACGTCTGCAGCCGCTTCACATTCCTCTTTTCATCAGAATGCCTCGGCTTAAAAGAAACAGTTTAACCTGCCTTCTTCTCAAGCAAAGCAAATTGTGAGGTCTTGCCCTGACTGTCAGTCAACAGCTCAATCCTCATTTGCCATGGGTGTAAATCCTCATGGCTTAAAGGCAAATGAGATTTGGCAAACAAATGTTACACACATTGCTTCTTTTGGTGCCTTTAAATATGTTCATGTGTCGACACATTTTCACGTATGATTTCAGCTTCTGATCATAAAGGCCCGTGGTGTTATCCAACATTTAATGCATGCATATGCCACCTGAAGAGTTCTTTCCCAGTTGAAAATAGAATGGCCCTGTGAATAACTCATTAGCTTTATCACTATTTTTACAGCAATGGTGTGTCACGCATGTCACTGGTATTCCCTACTCCTCTGCAAGAGGCCAGGGGATTGTGGAACAAACTCACACTGATCTGAAATTCATGCTACAAAAACAAAAAAGGGGGAATATGGTCCCTCAATGCCATCTATACACTGAATTTTTTGAATTGCACTCAATCTTGCATGAATACCCCTGTCACTGCACCGCAATGACATTTTCCTCTGACACGCCACCTTCTGAATGTGCTGGAGTGTGGTATCATGACCCTTTGGGCCCACAGAAATGGGAAGGGCCTGTGGAACTGATAACCTGGGGGTGGGGTACGCTTGTGTCCTCCTACCTACAGGTCTGTGGTGGTTGCCTGCAAAGGTTGTCAAGGCATACCATGATGGACATACAAGTTGAAGAATCCAGTGCCTGAGGTGCAGGAGCTGACCTTGAAGACCCCGACCAGAATGAGACAGAGGAAGAGAAAACGGAAAGACTTGCAAAACATTACTTGGGGGCAACTGAGAAGTCTACATCAAACTGCAAGTATTATGATGAGTGCTGTAGGCATGGAGTCCTCTCCAATCAATACTTTTCTGGCTTACCTAGCAATCACTGCAGCTGATTCTGCTGTAAACAGAATCATAGAATAGTTAGGCTTGGAAAGGACCTCAAGATCATCTAGTTCTAACCCCCCTGCCATGGGCACTGACACCTCACACTAAACCATCTCACCCAAGGCTTCATACAACCTGGCCTTGAACACTGCCAGGGATGGAACAGTCACAGCCTCCCTGGGCAACCAATTCCAGTGCCTCACCACCCTCACAGTAAAGAACTTCCTCCTTATATCCAATCTAAACTTCACAGTATCACAGTATCACAGTATGTTAGAGATTGGAAGGGACCTCAAAAGATCATCTAGTCCAATCCCCCTGCCGGAGCAGGAACACCTAGGTAAGGTTACACAGGAACGTGTCCAGGCGGGTTTTGAATGTCTCCAAAGAAGGAGATTCCACAACCTCCCTGGGCAGCCTGTTCCAGTGTTCCGTCACCCTCACTGAGAAGAAGTTTCTTCTCAGGTTTAAGTGGAACCTCTTGTGCTCCAATTTGTACCCATTACCCCTTGTCCTTTCATTGTTTGCCACTGAGAAGAGCCTGGCTCCATCCTCGTGACACTCCCCCTTTATATATTTATATACACTGTATAAACTTCCCCTGTTTAAGTTTTAACCCATTACCCCTTATCCTGTCACTACAGTCCCTAATGAAGAGTCCCTCCTCAGCATACCTATAGGCCTCTTTCAGATACTGCAAGGCTGCTATGAGGTCTCCACACAGCCTTCTCTTCTCCAGGCTGAACGGTCCGAACTTTCTCAGGCTGTCTTCACATGGGAGGTGCTCCAGTCCCCTGATCATCCTTGTGGCCCTCCTCTGGACTTGTTCCAACAGTTCCATGTCCTTTTATGTTGAGGACACCAGAACTGCACACAATACTCCAAGTGAGGTCTCACGAGAGCAGAGTAGAGGGGCAGGATCACCTCCTTCGACCTGCTGGTCACGCTCCTTTTGATGCAGCCCAGGATACGGTTGGCTTTCTGGGCTGCAAGCGCACACTGAAGCTGGCTCATGTTCATTTTCTCATCGACCAGCACCCCCAAGTCCTTCTCCACAGGGCTGCTCTGAATCTCTTCTCTGCCCAGCCTGTAGCTGTGCCTGGGATTGCTCCGACCCAGGTGTAGGACCTTGCACTTGGCACAGTTAAACTTCATGAGGTTGGCATCAGCCCACCTCACAAGCGTGTCAAGGTCCCTCTGGATGGCATTCCTTCCCTCCAGAGTATCAACCGAACCACACAGCTTGATGTCATCGGCAAACTTGCTGAGGGTGCACTCAATCCCACTGTCCATGTCAGCGACAAAGATGTTAAACAAGACCGATCCCAACATCGATCCCTGAGGGACACCACTCATTACTGGTCTCCAGCCGGACATTGAGCCATTGACCGCAACTCTTTGTGTGCAGCCATCCAGCCAGTTCTTTATCCATCGAGTGGCCCACCTATCAAATTGATGTCTCTCCAATTTAGAGACAAGTAATAATACATGCAAATCAATGACGTCTATAACCAGACTGCGTTTGACAACTCAAATATGTGTGCTTGCAATGTAGCTAGTATTAGAGGCTGTGATTTTATGTATAAACCACCTGCACTTACTAGCGAGTTGCTAATAAGAAACTACACTCTATATCATAGTATAACCCCAATCCCTATCAGTATGGACTTCTCACTTGTAAAAGAGATGTCAGAGCATGCAAATTTACAGTAGCTGCTAGAATATGCTAAGGCAGAAGCTAGAAAGATCCTAATAACTGTACATCATGCTGGTAGTTATAAAGCAGGTAACAGAACAAATTAAGAAGATGGGAGAACATCACTGGTGGGAAATTTTCTGTGGCTGGACCCCCACTGCCACTAGCACCCTCAATGCACTGCTGCACCCTGCAGTAGTTATACTGCTAATGTAAATCTGTGTGTGCTTTCCCATGGTAGTGACTTGTTACTGGATGAGGCTGGTGAAACTCTGCCTTGACAATGAGGTGTAAGGACTGAGGTTGGCCAAATGCCTCTTACCACAGTCAAGAGCAAGACTGGGTTGGCCTCTGTGTTTGCCACCAAAAAGAACCTTTAGCTCTGCTGTTGGCTGCAACCCAGCAGGCACTGAGTGCTGGGGACACATGCTATGCCAGACCTTGCTGCGACAGGTGGCCTCCTGTGTTATAAACAGGCCATCCAGGAGGGAAGGGTGGGCTAAGCAGGCTGCTTTGGCACAAGAGATATTTAGTCCAAATATTCTGCTGAAGCACAGTCACCTAAAGCAGGTTTCATCACCCTCAAGATAAAAAAGCAAAAGTTAGCATAAGTAACTATTATAAGCGATAATAATACAATAAGTAACTATTGTATTTGAACCTTCTATCTTCAAATGCTAATATCAAGAAGCTGCTCTTTTGTGATTTAGGACTCCTTAAGCAGAGAAGGAGACAAGGAAAGCCAAGGACTGTGTCTTTGGAAGTAACAGCATCTATCTTCAGGTTCCCAAGGCTCCCAGTACGTCTGGCCAGTGCACTGGCGAGATCTTGTCTTTGGAGACTGGACGTCGTCACTTTACTTTGCTTCTCCTCCATCTGATGTGGAGACTTGTTACCAACTTGCGAAGAACCAAAGCCAAAGTGCTCGCCGCCTTGATCGTACAAAACAAAAAAAGGGGAGATACAGGAACTGCAAGCTGTCCTGTTCCCCCTATGTGGATAATTAAAGAAGAATTGCTGATAGTGCACCTTGGTCTTGAGCAAGCCAAGGAGTATTTGTGCACATGGGTGCAAGGCTGGGCTGGGAAACAGCCTAGGGAGTGATTGTTTACAGAATGGAATTTATAGTGGCTAAAGACAGTCAATTGTGATTGATGTGGTTTCTATTTGGCTTCATAGCTCAGGCCCATATCTGTATGCTATACATATTATCATGCTGGAGTGAATAAAGTAGAATCAGTTGTGGAAGCATGGAGGGGTATGTGGGTGTGTTTAGCCTCTTTCTTTAGAGGTGCTGCAATGAATAGTAGCTCTGAAAATTGTTACTGATGTAATATCTGAAACAGTATGCAGAGTTGTTCAGTCCTTGTGTTGCCGTAACAGAAAAGTCAAAGGCAGGCTTTTTATCTCCTAAAAACCCTGGATATTATGAATTTTCTGTGGTGGATTTCTGTTGTGATGAGGGAGTGATTCAGATGAGGTTTTCTAGGTGTAATTCATTTCATGGGTAAACAGCCAAAACCAGTTACAAATTTTGACACCCCTCCCCTTCCCTTTCACATGTGTGCTCATGTGTGAATTCAGACATTTAAAATCAGTTTCTGATAAGGTATTACTTAAATCAACATCAGGGATTTTAATTATACCAGATCTTTACCATTTACTCTAGCTGTTCAAGTTAAAAATTAAAAAAAAAATAAATAAAGATTTACAGATTAAAGATTTTCTTATCTGAATAACCAGTTGAAAAGTTTAAATCTGATTTACGTTAATGTACCTACCTTTCTACTCATGAAGATATAGATGACTGGATTATAAGCAGTGCTTGACTTTGCAAAGAAAGATGGGATGATGGCTACTGTTGGAGTTACAAGGTTGCTATAGCCATATGTTACCAGGAGGGAAACCACTGCATAGGGCATCCAACAAATAAGAAACGTGGAGATCATTAAGAAACACATTTTAGCCACTTTCTTTTCATATTTTAGAAGTTTGACCACTTGAACAGTCTGGAAATCTTCCACACAGCGAAGCTGCAGAAGAAAAAGATAAAACGGTGAAGTACGACAGCTCTATAGTTTACTTGAAAATTAATAGTTCTACATTTATTTATAACTAATTTGCTAATTCAGTTTTAGGCACAGACACTACACACCTCTTCGTGTGAGCCACAATTCTTCCAGAATTTTATGTCATGCATACCAGACTTTTACTGGGTATATTAGGTGTAAAAATACAATTGGAAGAAAAACAGGATAGCATATCTGCTGGAAAACAACAAATCCAGTGATGTAAAACAACATGCTGCACATATAAGTATTTTATAAAACTGACTTGCTTTCACCCACTGGCATAAGCAAGTTCAGTTTACATTTAGTGACCTTTTCTCTGACTAGTTAGACAATCCTGTAGATCTGTGCCACCAGCAATCTTTAAAGAGAAGATAATTTCATAGATTTCTCGCTACTGCTCTGCCACTTGGTTTGTTACCCTGAAATTATGAAAACTCTATTTACAGCAGAACACTAGGCAGCCAGTTCCCAGTGTTATCTGAATGAGTCATAAAATGAGGAAAAGATGGGACATGTATGTGAGTGTTCTCCATAACAATTATTTATTGTGCCAATACTGTTGACCACAAACTTGAATGGATCCACGCTAATTACTCACAGAATACAAAACATTAAAACTTTCTGACACAAAGGATCTGGACTGAATTAAAATGGGTCGCCTTAACATAAGAAACTGTTCTAACAGGGCTTAATCTCCACTTGGAAGAGTTTTACAGGGTTGTCTTCTCAGGAGTGGTGAGGAGAAGAGAGTTCTTTGATCAGGAAAACTGCAGTTTTATATTTGCCCTTTTTCAAGGAAAAAAAAATCCTGATGTGGGTCAGTGAGTGTGAGCATTCCTTAAACTACCTCCCTGTCAAACTACACAACAAATAGATCTTGGTGTCTTTAGGTTGGTTCTCCTCTAACCCTGCATCCTTTCTAGTGGTACCTGACATGGATGAACATTGAACATTTGAAAGTTGGAATAGGAAGCAAGAGTGTGAATTTAGACTCTGATCCAAGCTTAATATACAGCATTTTTCACTGAAAATGCTACAGTAAGAGAACTCTTATTTGAATTAACTTACCATTCTTACTGCATAAACAATATGGCCATAGCAATAGGCCATGATCCCCACAGGTGCTACTAGACACCCAAGGAAAAAAAGGATCACAAAGGAGGTATCACTGGGGTCTTTTGACTTCCAGTCGACTGAGCAACCTAATCCATGAATTTCCAGTGTGTATCTGTTCCAGCCCAAAAGGGGTGCTCCAGTCCAGGCTAATGAGTAGAGCCAGATGTATGTGATAGCCCTCCAAGACCACGAGAAGTCAATCACTTTAGCATGAACTACTCGAATGTAGCGTTCATAGGCAAGAACAGTGAGAGTCATAATTGAAACAATTCCTGTAAGAAAAATAAAATTAAATTACTCACAAACATTGCAAAGTGGACTGAAGTCCTCCTAATAAGTATTTCCTTTGCCAGCAGGTTAACTCACAATTAACTGGCTTATATTGTGAATCTAAAACCAATATGCTTTTTGGGTGACATCCCATCACTCACTAACTTCTAACTCAAACAGTACCACTAACTTCAAAACTCCTTAGAGAAGGGTGCCGATGTGACCCATGACATACAATAGCCACGAAGAAGGACAAGGAATGAAAAATAAAACAGAACAAGCCAATACTTCTTCCTAAATATTACTTCATGAAGTGAGAGATCATGCTTACACTGAACTTCTGTCAGCAGTTGTTGAGGGGTTTGCTATTGTTGTCATTGGGTTATTTGGTTTGGGGGGGGTGTTTGTTTTAGGGTGGGCTTGGCTGCGGGAGAATTGTTTTAAGGTTGGGTTTGGTTTTTTGTTTTTTTTTTTTTGTTTTGTTTTGGGGTTTTTTGAGATTTAGCTGCCATATAAAAATGAGATACTCAGCAATAACAAAATCTGTTAGAAACCTAGGGAATTCAGAGTTGAGACTCAAGTCAAAGAAAGCCTTCAACAACTGAAAGCATAGATGTACACCTTTAACGTGACCAAAATTACTAGGAGAATTCCAGCTTCTTTGAAGATTTCCTGAGAATCTTTGCATACCAAAAAACAACAAGGAAGGTGTTATATTGCTGAAGGAGTCCCATTTGTAAGACACTGGGTTACTTTGAGTGTCCTGTCCTATCTTGCTGATATCATAAAAATATCAGTGTTATTTTCAATTATCTGTATACTCTTTCAACCCCACTGTACACTTACTAACATGATATGCCAGAAATCAGAGATTATTTTCAGCTCTCAGCATTACCTTATCCTGACACTACCAATAAACTGCTTTTATTGAATGAGGAAATTGAACTACAGGCAACATCTCTCAGCATTCAGACATTGCTGAGCGGAACAGAAATAGCCAGAGGAGCAACTTCTGAGTAGTGTCATCAGCATTTCTGAAGCTATTTAACTCAGAGGCATACCGAAGTTTGAACAGGGTCTGTTTTTTGTTTTGTTTTCTTTCCCTCCTTTAATGTTACCCAAACCAATAAAGTATTTCATGCACCTCTTTATCACACTACTTTACTCCCATAGAATGCAGAAAACTTAGGGTTGTAAATTTGCAAATTTGACTGTCCATCTTTTTAACATAGAAATTCTAGAGAGTAACTCTTATGACTTCAGTTGAACACCCATTACACTGCATAGGAATGTTTTAGAACTGTTTCCATATTACATATGGAAATATTACTTATTTCTTGGGCTTGACATTGATCCCAGACCTTGGAAACAAAAATCCAGGTTGATGCAAACACAGATCCACCATCAGTGAAGGAAGAGTTGGTATGTGAATTAATACAGGAGCCTGACACCTTCAAATAGATGGGCCCTGACAGCGTACACCTGAGGGTTTAAGAGAGGTGGCTGATATTGTGAGGTCTGTCTCCATATCTTTGAGAAGTCATGGAGACTGGGGGACAACCCAGAAGACTAGAAGAAGGCAAATGTCACCTCCATCTACAAGAAGGGCTTAAAGGAGGATCCAGGATATTACAGGCCCATCAGTCTTCAGTCCCTGGGAAACTTATGGAGGGAATCCTCCTGGGGTCTTTCACAAGTCAAATGAAGCACATAACTCGGAGAAGCCAGCATGGATTCACCAGGGGCAATCACGCTTGACAAACCTGACTTCTACAATCTGCTCAGTTGATGTGGGGCCAGCGCTGGACATTGTCTACATGGATTTCTCCAAGGCTTTTGATACAGTCTCTCCCTGCCTCCTCCTAGAGAAACTGCTGTATTATGGTCTAGACAAGTGGTCTGTGTGGTGGGTGGGGAACTGACTGCATCCAGGAGGTGGTGCTGAATGGCTCCTTTTCAAATTAGGAGACCAGTCACTAGTGGGGTCCCCCTGAGATCAATATTGGCCCCAATGCTGTTTAATAGTGTCATGAATGACCTGGGTGATGGGATCAAGTGTACCCTGATGAGGTCTGCTGATGATACCAAACTAACTGGGGAAGGCCACCCTGCCAGGAGACCTTATAGGCTGGAGAAGTGGGCTGACAAGACCCACTGGAAGTTCAACAGGACAACTGTAAGGTCTGGGAAAACACAAACCAGGAGTGCAGCACAGGCTGGGATCTGCCCAGCTGGGGAGCAGCTCTGTGGAAAGAGACTGGGCTTAATAAGGATAAACAGTATGCAGCTGTGGCAAAGAAAGCCAACCAGATGCTGGGTTGCATCAACAAAGGCATTGCCAGCAGAGATAACAATGTCATCAGCCCACTCTACTCAGTGCTTGTCAGGCCACACCTGGAATACTGTGTTCAGTTTTGGTCCCTGCTGTGCAAAAGAGATGTGGACAGGCTGGAGAGGGTCCAGACAAGACCCAAAAAGATGTCAAAAGGACTGGGAAAACGTGAGAAAGGCTGATAGAACTGGTTTTGTTCAGCCTTGAGGAAAGAAGGCTCAAGGGAGACCTTTATCACCATGTTTCAGTATTTAAAGGGTGGCTACAAAGAAAACGGATACTCCCTTTTTACACAGAGTCACATGAAAGAGGTGAGGGGTAACGGGTACAAGTTATTCCTGGGGAGATTCCAACTGGACACTAGAGGAAAATTTTTCACAACAAGAACAATCAACCATCACAATAATCTCCCGAGGGAAGTGGTGGACTCCCCAACACTGGACACTTAAGGTTCAGTGGGACAGCGTTTTGGGTCATGTTGTCTAGACTGTGCTTTTGCCAAGAAAGGTTGGACCAGATGATCCTTGGGGTCATAAAACTTACTCTGATTTTACTGTAAAGTCTGTGCAATTTGAAAGTTAAACCTAGGATTTCAAGGTTTCAAATGCTACAAGTTGTTTAAGCCCTCAAAATACAAGCAGCTGCACAACTCTCCATTACACCACAAACTGGGGAGCTCTTACTTTTGACAGAAATAACGACTGTAATTCTTGGTAACAGTTTTCCAGCTTGTAGATATTCCAACTATTTCTTTTACTCCTATATCTAAAGCACAACCTCCCCCACCCCCCCCCAAAAAATAAAAAATAAATCTCAATAGGTAGAAACTTCAGAACTGTCAACATTTCTTAGGAGCTTATGTTCCACTAAATGTCAATGGATCATAAGGTCCAGTTTTTCACTAGGGGATGGAGGATGTCCTTGGTTTTTTAATACAACTTCAGAATAGGGAAGAACAAGACTAGAACATAAAAAAATCTGAATTCCTCCCCACTATACATCTTTTCCATTCTGCATCAACATGCAACCAAAGCACATTCGACACGTCTAACAAAAGCTCTGAGAAAGAAGCAGCAGATTATCTCACATAACTAGAATAACCTCATTGATAGACCATTAAAGTACGGTCTGACTTTAATATCTTTGAATTGATCTGTAACAACGACTGGAAACTTTATATGTCATTTGAGTTTCCCAACTACTGGGAATTTCAGCTATTCTGTGTGCACATTTTGTGGCAACAAATTCCATTATGAAGCTGCAAAACCATAAAAGCAGAAGATGCCCAAGGGACTCTAAGTGGCAAGAGCTGGAATATGCCCGCCACTTCCACATGTAATGACAAAACCTAGTAACACTCACAGCAACAAAGATATTGAAAAAGTTTGTTCAAACAACTTGCCACAGTCAGTGTGCAACGCGTATTTTGTCAGTCTCGAAGTTTTTTCCATATGCTAACAGCAGTGTTAAGTTCAATTGTATTTCTATAAAATACAAACTAAAACTAATAAAATTGTATGAGTCACTTATATCTGGTTTGGGCAATAACCTGTACCTCTGCTGCACTGATTGCAAGGAAGAAAAATTTCCTCTCAAATGAGGAAACTACAATTAAATGAGAAGTTGGGAAGGGCGAATTTATACATTTTTGTTTAAATTTAATTCAGCTGGAGATTAACTCTAATGTCAAGGGATGGTTTCAAGCAGCATTTGTTGTATAGTCAATATCCTAGACAGTACTTTTTGGTGGGAAAGGATGGGTATACATAGCAGTAGAAAGTAAAACTACTGTTTTTCTTCTTTGCATGCTCAGAAATCAAATTGAAAGACAAATTTCGACCATAAGAGATCTCCTTTAATAGCTACCATTAAGGGAGTGAAAATACAGACCATTCATCCAAGGATAATGAAACTTCAAGCACCCAATGCATATGCTGGTTGAGGTATCTGTCCTAGACACTACTTTCTCATGCCAGTCATATAAGTTAAAGACAACTCCATCTTCTGTTCTCTCTCTCTTCTCCCCTCACCTCCTGAATACGTTAATTTTGGGTCAGTTTTGGTTGGCTGCTAAATAGCAGGTAACGATGTGTTACTGTAACCACAGAATACAACAGTGTTACTTGAGTTGGCAAATCTTGGCAGAGATTTGCCAAGAGCACACAAATGCAAGGCTTCTTCTGCTGTCCCCACAGAAATGCAGAGTTTTGGATAATGCCATATACTTAGTGGTAGTTCTTACATGAAAACCTTGCCTTTTATAGCCCACTACATATTTACATCATGCATGTTCTTGCACTGCTTCCAGCTACCTCATTTATGATTTATGCATGTAGGTGGCTCATATGCGATAATTATTTCTTCTGTACTCTGGGTTTTCAGAATCACAGAACAGTTTTGGTTGCAAGGTCCCTTCAAAGGTCATCTAGTCCAACATCCTCCCAGGATGGGCAGGGACATCCCCAACTAGATCATATTGCCCAGAATAACATCCCGCCTGGCTTTAAATGTCTCCAGGGATGGCACATCCACCTGTGTGGGCAACCTGCTCCAGTATTTTACCACCCTTAGTGTAAAGAATGTTTTCCTTGCATCCAGTCTGAATCTCCTCTCTCTTAGTTTAAAACCATCACCCCTCCTCCTATTGCAACAGGCCCTGCTAAAATGTCT